GCACGGGGGGACATGGGGACACTGCATGGGAGGACATGGGGGGACATGGGGACACTGCACAACAGGGTCACGCCAGCACCACCAGCTCGGCCGCCACCAGCGCCGTGTTGCGCGGTGGCTCCAATGGCCAGGGGGACACGGGGGACACTGGGGGGAAGGAGGTTCTGACGGCCATGGAGACATCGGGGACATGGAGGGTGATGGGGACACTGAGAGCTGCAAGGACAAAGAGCGAATCTGCAATGGGGACAGGCACGAAAGGGTCACAGTGCAGGGGACAGTGTGGGGACATGGGGACATTGCACAAGAGGGTCCCGGTGCAATGAGAAGACACATGGGGGGACATCAGGACATTGCAGGGGGGGACATGGTGACACGCACAGCAGGGTCACACTGTGATGAGGACATGGGGGACACAGGTGGGGACACGCAAGGGGACAGGGTGTCCCCCCCCTCCCCCCCAGTCCCGGTGGCCTCCCGGACGCCTGGGCCCCCAGTACCTCCACACTCATTGTCCTGGTGTCCCCAACAGGTGTCAGTGATGGGGGGAGGGGACAGACGCTCCCGGATGCCTGGGCCCCTCCAGTCGGGCAGCAGCGATGGCAGCGAAATGGGACAATTGGGAGAGGGTGACATGTGTGACAACCCCCACCCCCCCCCAGTGGGCCCAGGCGTCCGGCCCCCCGCTGCAGCGCTGACGTCACTGCCCTGGAGGGGACGATGCTATCGGTGACACTGGGGGGGGGCAGAGCAACCCCCGCCACCTTCCTCATTCCCCATAAGGAGGGCAAAGGGCCCAGGCATCCGAGTGCTGCCCCTCCCCCGCCACCCTGGGCAGGGGGCCCAGGCATCCGGGCCGGGGGGTAACCCAGGCCCTCCCGCCACGTTCCCCCCCAAAAAACAACAGACAGGWGACAAGAGTGGTGACAAAACAGGCTGTTGTGCAGAAGGGGCCCAGGTGTCCGGGCACATTGCAGCACGCGGGGGATGGGCACAGAGGGAGGGCCCCGGCATCCGAGGGGCCCAGGCGTCCGAGCGCGCGGGGCTCAGGCGGCCGCCGTGACGTAGCGGGCGCCCGGCCCGTCGAACAGCTCCCGCTCGCGCTCGCTCAGCAGCTCCAGGGGCAGCGGCCGCCGGCAGGACGTGCAGGCCTGCGCGGGGGGGGGCGCCCGCGGCAGCCCCAGGGCCCCCCAGCACTCGGAGAGGCGGTCTGGGGGGGGAGGGGGGTCACCGTGGGGTCCCCAACGTCCCCAATATCCCCCAACGTCCCCCCAATGTCCCCCTGTCCCCC